GGAGAGCACCTATGCACTTAAAAAGGTAATAAAAAACTATTTTCTCAAATTAAAACTAAATAATTTAAATTTTTTCATTTAAATTATCATTTAAAAATCTAATATTTAATAATTCTCGTCACAAAAATTGTAATTAAGGTGTTGAAAAAGGTTATTGCCATTTCGTTTTAGTTTAAGTTTACATTGTCCCTATCAAATATTTCAGCTAAGTTGTTATCGATATAAACTTAATGGTCTCGGTCAATTTTCGAACATTTTTATTTAATTACTTTTAAAACCTAAAAGTTAACATTATTAATTACCATTATCAAAATCACCGTATAAGGAAGCCGTTAAAAAAAGAACATGCTTTAGAAAGTTATTTTATTACGCTTTTAAAATTTATTATTCTAATTTTAGAATGAACTCTTAGTTTCATAAAATAAATAATAATTTCTTTTTCTTTTTTGACAAAAAATAATAATATCCTTTTCCACTGGCAATGATTTCTGATTACATATCAGTCTAATGATAGCTTCAAATCCAATCAAAAGATTCCAACCACATGAAGAATTTCTTCCTTGCACAAATTGTTATCCTAAAGGAGTTTTTAAACAATAAAAGTTTACTTGTTTTAGTCAGAAAGTGAACACTATCATATGCACAGATTCTAGAGGGAATGTATTAACTCTTAAGGGATAAACTTAAGCGTAAACGAATTGTTTTCTTTTCAATGTCAAAAGCGGAAGAAAGAAATAAGGATTTATCAATCACAAAATTGTCAAATCTGGAATTAAGTTTTCCCCACTGAAATAACATACTATTAAATTAGTTGTCACTATCTTAATTGTTATTTTTATTTGATAGGTGAATTAAGTTATTAGTTGTTAAATTACTGTTTTCAATGATATTCACCAAATTTTGTTTATGAAATTAGTTTTCAATACCTTAGTTGTTATTAAATTAAGGATATTTACATAATTTCGCTGGAAATTAAATTTAATCGCAGACTAGTTACTTCACGGTTCACAGTGATTAGGGCATTTTCAGAATTTTGAAGTATTATTTTCAAATTTAGAGGATATTTTTGTGTATTTCTTCTTGAAATGAAATATTTTTCTTTTCTTTATAATAATTGTTTAGGTTTTTTCTTTGACAAAATTAGTATATTTGCAAATCATTACCACGTCACATCTTTGTTATAACCATCAAGTTTATCCCCTAAGCAACTTTTGGGCTGGAAGTTTTAGGCCAAATATTTCTTCTGAAAGTATAGGATTAACATAAGTTTGGCGGGTACCAAAAAAGAAAAACACTTGATCATAGCCTCTCAAGTCATTTCTTATACGTAAAGTGTTCTCAGTTTTCTGAAATTATCTAAGCAAACTAGGCATCCTTTCTTATGCATTACTAACCTCGTAATGTAATAATTAGATAAAACTTAATAAAAAAATAATTATATATAAGGGAAATAAATCCATAATAAATCTAATTGTTAACATAATAACATTACAGTAACGAAATAACATCTTATGGCTACAAAAATGTTTTAAAATATACTGGTCTTTTTAAGAGGTCAGTTTTTTTAAAAGCCGTTTTAGTTCCCAATTTAGAAGGTGTTTGGCAACTCTCAAAAGTGTTTCTCAAAAGCATTTTTCCGCAAAACGAGGCAAACTCCTCCACATATTTACTTCATAAACCGTAAAAGTACTTCTGAAACCATTGTTTGGTTTCCATCCAAACACCCTTTTAATTCCCAGTCCCAGATAAACTCCAATACTCAATCATAAAAATAGGTTTTTAATCCAAAGTGAATTGGGAGCAAGTCTTATCCACTTCTTTGATGACCACTTGGTTGGCTTGATATTGAGGTCTCTATGCTTATTCGTTTCCTTTCTTTTTTTTGCTGTTGATAAGATATGTGCTTATATTTTAAAATTGCTACAAAAAAATGAACGACGTAAATCGGAATTATTTCATTAAAAACATTAATTCTAACTAAACATATTATAATTAAAAAAAAAGTTAATATAATCTTTGGTCCTTTAAATTTGTCTTCATTTTAGTTTTGATTTTTGATTTTTGAAGTTTCAAGTTATAGGTTTTGGTCCCTTATAGGACAAAATGATTTAGGTTTTTATTTAATTATAGGAATCAATGTTTTAAATAAAAAAAATTTAAGAGACTAAAAATTATAATTTAAAACTTAAAGGAATAAAATCAAAATGAGGACTCCCTGTTAACCCGGAAGGGGGGAAAAAAAGAACCTTCTAGGCTTATATGGCCGAGCTTTGCTTGCCAATGATTAGAGCCGGGAAAATGGGCCGAGCCCGTTTAGGTCCTAAAATTATGAGGGTCATGCTTGATATTTTTCCCTTCAAATGGGAAATAAGCCTAGAGGGCTAGCCCTGGAGGGCTAACTCTGGAGGGCCGAGGGCTTAAAAGGGCCGACCCTGGAGGGCCGTGAGCCGGCCCGTTTAAGCCCTTTTATAATTTTTTTTATTTTGTAAATTTTTTTATATAATTCTAATGTTATTAATTTTTACATTGTTAATAATATTTCAAATATATAGTTATTATTATCATTTTAAAATTAAATTTAGTTTTAGACAATAATTTATGTAATTAAATTTTTAAAAAAATGGGTTAATTTGGACTTTAATAATGATTTGATTTATATTATATATGTTGATATTTTTAAACTATATATATATTTGACAATAGAGTATTTTTATACTTATATATAATGTGATTCTATAATTTGAATTAGAAATTCATGAGTTTCAACAACAATATTTCTCACATTAAAAAAAATAATATCTAGATTGAAAAAATTAAAATTAAAATTCCTATAAAGAAGAAAAACTTGATATTTTTGTTACGAAAGAAAAGCATACTTATGAAGAAGAGTAATTAATTATAGTGATGATGAAGTTTCAAGAGACTAATAATAGTGTTTATTTATTATACAGTTGCACTATAGATAAAACTTTTGGATGTTGCTATCTTGTTAATAAATGTTTTAGATGTTTTTGGATGTTGATGGATATTTATATATGAGGATATTTTATATTTGTGACTTAATTTTATTCATATTTATATCTTTTATTAATAATTTCATTGGTTTTTTTTATTTTTTTATTAAAAGATGATAAATGTAAAAAATAACATTTTTTTCTTAAACGGGCCAAAAACCCGCGGGCCGACCCTGAATCCTATAGCTTAAAGGCTGGGCCTAGCAAATCGCAGTATTTTTGAAATTTCAGCCCTGGAGGCCTGGCCCTTTTAAGCCTTTCAGCCTTGAAGGACCAACCCCAGAGGGCCGGGCCGGTCCTGATTCCTAGCTCTACCAATGACGAGGAAAGACCGCATTATGTAGGAGCCTACCACTTACACATGGGCGTAAATGACGCCCATAACTTGACATTGGGCTTTGCTGGGCTGGGTCTCAAGAAGAAGCATATCAAAGTTGGTTCTTTAACAGCTTGCCTTATCTTACAATTTGTAAAGCCCATGGTTGATCACTGTGTTTGTGTAGATGCTTTCACTCATGAGCATTAAGCACCTAAATTTTTTTTTTAAATATAAGTTTGCCTCAAAAATTTAAAACATAGCAATTTTACCCATTATCATTAAAATATTGATGGTTAGTGTCACTTTTCTAATAATCAACGTTAGGTTTTTAATGACATGATACAAAATCACTGTGATTTTAAACTTAGGGGGGCAAATGTGCACTTATATAAAGCAATCTGTGGTCGCTGTAAAAGAAATATTGAAAATAAAATTATTAAAAATGAAAAATTAATTTATTATTAGGAAGAAATTGAAAAATACCAAAATACCTAATTAAATATAACTAAATGAATGCTATGTTCCATACAATTTGGTCTCTGATTGTGTCATGAATATGATTTATTTGTATTGATCTAGGTAAATTTGACTAGGGTCTCACCAACTTGATAATCATTGTCTTCCTCGATTATACTTTCATATTCAGCTCATCTGAAATCTCTATCAATTTAGAATTTCTCTTAATAAAATTATGGATAGCCATTGTTGCACAAAAATTTGGACTTGAGTTTTATACTTGTATTTGAGCATCTTGTCTAAGACTTCAAACTTATTCTTTCCCACCTCAAAAGTCCTTTCTACAATGCACCTCAAATTTGAATGATAATAATTGAAGATTTTGTTGTCATTTTCGAATCCTTGGTTGTCAACTTGAAGTCTGAAAGGAGGAGAAGATATGCAGAAGGAGGGTAAATGGGAAGGTGAAAAATATTAAAAATAATGCTACATAATGGCTTTATTCACCACATCGTCATTCTGCCTACCGTGAGAGCAAAATGAAAGAGTAATTTTTACCACTTGGGATTGCCCAAATGTGATCACAAACACCATCCGCTCCGTTAGTAGCAGCCGCGACAATTGGTGACCAACGAGCCACTCACCACTCACCACTCACCACTAAGAATAGAGCTCAAAAACATATTCTCAAATAGTCATTCGATCTTGCAATAAAATTTCAAAATATTTTGCACCTAGTTTTAAATTATGTCCCATAATTAATCCCTTGCTAAAATTCACCCAAAATTAATAGTATAATGAACTTGGATTCTCTACCTTTCTCTTCCTGTCTATTTCCAATCCCAATTAATAGATTAAAATTCAAATAGTCCAAATTTAATATTTTGTTGAATAATTATTTTAAAATACTTCTTCATTGCAGTTTTAAAATGTCCTAACTAAAATTTAGCATTCATTTTTTTAATAATTTAACATTTTATTTATAAATTTATAAAATATTAAATCGTAACCGCTCAAATTTCAATCTATAATTGAGCTGAGATGATAAGAGGGAAAAAAAGGGTAGAAAAGAAAAATGGAAAGATTCCAGTTACACTTGAGTGATTTTTTTATGTTAAAATCCTAAAAAGTTATTTTTCTGTCAAAATTTAAAGTAACATGAACAGATGCAGAACAATATGTAATCCAAGTCGATAAATCACATGAAGACATGCACATCAAATATAACTTTCCATATTCACCAAAAAAAAAAAAACTTTCCATAATCTCGTATTGTTGCCTTGGTGTACATCTCTTGCTTGACTCTAGTCAAATTAGAATCGAATTGTCTGAACAATGCGCAAGTAAACTTGGCTTCCTATAATACTATTTTACACCTCTGGATCAAAACGCTAACTAGTGATCACAGACACACAAAAAAAGCAATACCCCAGGGAAGAGAAGGGGGGGAGAGAGAGCGAGAGGTTTGCGCCATCGCTCTTGAATCTACCTACTGTCCATTGAGTGATACTTTTACCTGGATAGATGAGTCTGTCAAGATGATATCTCTCTCATTTTCAGCCTTTGGATGATCCAAACTATGCAATTCTATCCTTATGTGCAGTGGCTTCATGAAAATGAGATCTCTCAAGTCCCCCTTAGATTTTGATAAAAATTCACTCCACAGATCTCTCTCCATCTTCACATACCTCCCAGAGCTCATGATATCCAGTATCCTTCCAGCATGAATCTCAGGGTTTTCTTCTTGTGAATTCGGGTCTCTTCTAAGTTTCAAGTACAGCACCGTGTAAATAATAACCTGTGTAAAAGGAAAGATATTATCATTGAAGTCTTTCTAATTTCTTCGTGATCATTGTCAAAGTTTGTCAATATGTGTAGAAGACTGCTAAAATAACAGCACTCCATAAATTAACACCCACAAGGCCGCTGTAAAACCTAATGCAAATGCTACCTTTGGTCCTAAGTTAAGATCTAGTTTACAGCGGAGGTAGTACAAGGAAATGCAGCAATTCCAAAAGCTTACTGATCTGTATACAAAAAATCTAATATAGACAGTGGCATGAAATGATAAAACTAAGTCACTCAGTTAACATAGAGAAGGTTTAACGACTTTCATGACCCTTGTTCTTGGAGACAACCAACATGATCGCCGTGGTATTATGTTTCTAACGTAATAGGTTATAAAGCATAAACAATTGCATATCAACAGAGACCACTAAACTCATTTAGAAACACTTTGGATCAAAATAAAAAAATCATTTAGAAATACACTGTCTCCCATCAAAATCACAGACTCACAGGTGTTAACAAAATAGTTATAGTTGTGACAAACAATGATTATCATGCTGTGGCAAACCGAAACGATATTCCATTAGACAACCAAAACCTATTCCAAAGAAATCTAGACATCTATTAATTTAAAAAATGTACCCAAATCCCACTAATGAACTTCAGAGGTAAGGAGCAGTCAGCTAAACAATATAGACTGAAAAGTAGTTATCATAAATCAGACTTCAAGTCGAAGTTGAATGCATTATCTCAGTCAAAATTTAATACCAGTGCTTTTCGAGCAGTAACAACACAAGGAAGAAATAAAATAACGGTGAAAAAAGAACAGAATCATTGCCATCTTCCTTTGTTGCTTCAAAAATATATTTATACCTCACTGGTTCCAGGGCTAGTATTGACATTGCAGGTGATGCAAATTTCTTTATCTTCCACCATTAAATTATCATTCAGATTATCATCTGGAACAGCTTGCTCTGATTCAGGTTTAGGAGAGGCAAGATTATCCAATTCATCATACCACAGTTGCGCAACCCCGACCTGCAACCAAGAATTGAAATCATAAGCAACTTCAAATACAGAACCAAACTACTACTTCACCAAAGAAGACCCTCTTCCCTCCTCAAGAACCTTATCTACTGATCCTGGCACATCCTCAATTAATGAGACTTCAGTAGCTGCTCCTCTTGCTTGCCGCCAGATACAGGTTTCATCCAGTGGTTGTACTAGCTCAGTATCCTGAGGAACATCCACAATTAACTGTATTTGAATTCTACCTGTCACATTGCCGAAGTTCAACGCCACAAAAGTCAATTGAGAAAAAATAGCCTGTGCTACCGCATTACTATTTTTTAGGGGCCAAAAAAAGTGTAAAAACATGAAAGAGAAAGAAAAGCCCGTTAAGTAATCCTAATTATTCAAGTTCTTAAAGCGTCCTAAAATAAAGTGACGCTCAGAGCATCACAGATGATACAGGATCAATATCAGGATCATGTGATCAATATAAATTTCTCGATGATTCATGGTAGAATGTTTAAAAAGATAGAAATGACCTGGTAGCAACTGGAAGGACTGCCGATGATCAATTGGTACCTCTGAAAGTCCATTTCCACTGTCAACCAGCAATGAGTTGGACAAGTTAGAATGTTTCGTATGGTTTAAATCTTGCTTCTTCAAGATGTAAACAACAATCAGTTTTGGATTTGGAAATAAAACAACCTAAACAGTTTTGAGACAAATAACTTACGTAGCATAAAATGTCTCCAAGGGGGATGTCATCCAATAAGGTAATCCGAGTATCCCTAAATTGGAAAACTTGAAGTTTGAACAAACCCCAGATTCTCCGTCAACTTTCAAAATCCTCTGTCCAACTAGAGATAAAAAACTGGAGAGTAAACACAAACTAAAGAAAAAAGACATGAAGATCAGAAAGAACAAAGAACCACCCCCCCCCCCAAAAAAAGAAAAAGAAAAAAAAAAGAAAACGAAAGAAAGAAACCTGTATCACAAATGAAAATTTGATTCTGCAGCGTCGTAAGTGAAGATAAAAGACCAGAATGAGGGAGGCCCTCCACAAAACAGGTATATTCGATTTGCTGTTGAAATCCATCATAGCCTAGATGATCTAAAAGGGATGATTTCTTTGTGATCTGCTCTCTGCATATCTCATTAATTTCAGGAGAACCTTTTTCAAACACAAAATATTTCAAGAATTAATTCATCAACTGCAACTAGATACAAAATGGCTTCCACAATCGACCATAGAACTACTAAATCAAACCTTTAAGAATTTTGTCAATCTTTGCTGAAGCCAAATCCATGATCCATACAGCTTGAAACCTGCAAATAGGACCAAAAACCAACAGCATAACCATTGTATTAAATTAAGACAAGAAATAGCATGAACTGCACTGCTAGCATCAGCATCTATTATCTATCATATCATACAAGATCGCTTGATCAACTGCCTAGAAAATACAAATATTATGAAATGAGGAACGTTTAGGTACTATCCACGAAATAATTAAAAGCATCAAGTTCTTTCACCTGCGGTCTAGAATGAAGAGAGTATCATCAACTGATCTCAAAATATGCCATGGCAAAACAGGTGTTTTAGAATCAAACACATCTGATGTTTCATCAACATTAGTGTCCACATTACTCTCTAAACCCAGCTTATTCATGATCCAAGTCCATATACGCACACTGCTCTTCTTAGAGGCACTTGTCGGATAAAGAGTCTCTACTGATCGTGCTTCCATATCAGCTTTCCTGATAGCATGGTTCTTAGAAGACAGGAATCAGAACAAAAGAAAAGGTAAGTAACAATTCCATTATATGATTAAACCAATACGATTTATGAAGCCCAAACTCAACCCAAAAAGATGAAGAAGAAAAGCTGTAAAACAGAATGAAGCAATCATAAAATTCCATGAAGATCAAATACAACTAGGAGAAGCAGTGCAGTAGCAGGTATCCTGCCTCTCTTTCTCCCCGGTAATCCACTATAGTTAGGAGAAATTGAGAAATTCAAACTCCTAGGCCTTTCATGGACTATGAGGCTATATTTGTCATGGCGGAAAGGGGAAGGGGAATTAGAAATGGAATACATGTCAATGTTTCTTAGGAATGCTGTAATTATGATTCCTAAGTAATTAGGAATCATATTGTAAAATTGGTTGAATCGGATTTCACAGTATCAGTTCTGATTGCAATTTCCCTTCTCCATTTTACCCCTTCCTCCCTCTGACACTTCCAGTGACAACACTTTCAGCTGCAACAGATTATGATGTGCTCACTGACAATGAACAGCAATGCCAATGTGCCCTAGTGCTTTGAAAGCTTAGTTTTATTTTTTCATTTTTTTGAAGTGACCTGTGAACAGCAGTACAATAATCCTCTTATGAGAGCAAGAGACATCAACAACGGACTTCCAGATTCCTCCAGCAGTAGGTCATCGATTCTCATGTTATGGGTCCTGATTAACAGCCAACCTTCAAATCCAATCTACACAACAATTGTCTGTGGATAATATTTTTAGTAAATCTTTGTAATTTCTAGGTCCCTGGCTTATAATTCCGGGGTTGTCGGTTTAAGACTTTTGGTTTGTTGGTTTCTAATCTATTGCCAGTAGCTCATGTTGATGGACACAGTGGGCAATGGAGGGAGTCAAGGGACAGACAAGGCATTTTATTTCCCCCCCTTATTTTGAAAAGGAAAATCTGGTCTTTTTATATTTTAAATACATTATACCAAATAAAATCATACGGAGGTAGTGAGATTCCATCGGCATGCCATACATTGTATCAAATAAAATCATACTGAGGTAGTGAGATTCCATTGGCATACCAAACATACTTTTAGTATCCAATTCTATTCTAGTTCCTATTCCCTTTCTTACTCCAATTCCTTCAAAAACCATTCCATCATAACAAACAGGCCTTGAGTATCAAGTTCTTATAGGCTACAGGCATTGTAGCAATTCCAAACTCATTCTAAGTATACATGGGGGATTTGTTGAGAAACAAGCCACACAAAACAAGCAAAAGAGAATACAGGTTCAGCTACCAGCTTGTGCTGCAAAAAACCAAAAAACAAAAAACAAAACCCTAGAAAAGGACCCTATGAATATCTATAACATATTGATCAACCCACGTGCAGTAAAACTAACTTAAATGTGTCCTTCATGTCAACTTTATTAGTTTATCCCTGAAGAAACTCCTACTATTATTATGGAATAGAATGAAGATAGCACTCCCATAACCAAAGGGTAAGTTTATTCTCCTCGCAGAAAATGCAATACTATGTCTCATGCAAAGCCATCAGAATTAGCCCAAAATCAGATAGCATTCATAATAAAGATTTAGAATCAGAAATAAATATTCATAATAAGAATTACAACGGATTGGTGTTTACAATATACCATCAAATGTGATAAACCTGGATTAACATCTACTCATATTCACAGCATCACTCAACAGCAAAATTCATACCTCAGAATCTACAAAATATAAGCAGTCCTCAGCAGCATGGTAATAAGAACCTGCAGGTCGCCTTAATTTAGCAAATTCAAAATCTCCATCCTCAAATCCCGGGGAAGAGCCAATCTGAAAAGAGACAATAAAAAATGTAAGTCCTAACTCCGAAGTATTGCTCATTTACTTTTATAGAGATAGTAACTGTCAGAAACCAATACATCTCAAATTCTCAATGTCAGTGGAAGGCCGAAAAAATAATTATTAATTCTTAATAATTTAAAACCTATAAGAAACAAACACTATGATAAATTGTTTTCAAAAAAGAAAGGATAAAATGACATTGACATTTGTCCCTGATATCGGGTAAGAACTAAGAAGCTGAAATTTGCAAAATTTAAAGGTCTCATCATGATTTCTCTCCTGTACGGGTAAGAAGTCTTTATGGAATAAAGTTTAGGAGAAGTCGTTAGTAACGACCAGGAACTAAAATATTGATTTCTAGAGACTTTGTATCTTAGTTATCGTGAAGGACCAGGAAACCTAAAACACAACATGCGCTGACCAAAATACCTTCTCAAAACTACATTTAATTCTCTATCTTAATTATTTATCCATTTTCATCACTCTCAACATCCCCCTCTATGCATATGTCATTTGCTTGCTTGGGGCACTGTCAACTTCATCACAACTAAGAATTTATCATATATTGGATGGATGGGCACCCAAGCGACGTCAAGGGCCCTCCCTAAAAGCTATTAAGATGGGAGAACCAACCACCTGAGTATCATAAAACATCTCATATTACTCAATGTAACACCTAGGCATCCCATGATACCATAGTTTACATCAGTAAGCCCCTAAAATTTGTGACGCTTCATTTGGTTTCCTAGCCGATCAAAACACTTCAATAATCAAAACCATTTATAAGTAGCCATCTTCAAAACTGTTCAAAACCATTTATATGTAGCATTTTTCAAAACTGTTGACCACTATTCATGATACCAATTAATGGCCACTAGAAGGCAAGAGACTATGACGTAGATATTATGATAAAATTCAAATACACAGACGCCTATTGAGAGCTAGTTGACTATCTAATTGTTGATATTAAGGTAATGCTGTCAGAAAAATTTGAAATCGCCTTGTGACACACGAGTCATTTGCCGCCGTGTTGTAAAGTGTTTGTGAACAAATTCAGTAGACATCTAAGTGATGTTATTCGACTACTCATCATTTTTAGAAAACTTGGAGATCATATGATGATGAGTCCAGTCTTCAGTATTCAACTATCACTGTGCGTCATTATTGAAACTCCAACTTACTCTAATCGTTAATCACCTACTTCAAAATAGTCATCTATCAAGAGCCATGTCTGTTTTACATTCACCAGACTGCATAGAAATATGGGCTAGCAAAAGACCTGAAATCAAAAATGCTCTTGCACTAATTTGTATACATACACAGTCCAAAATCACTCCATTGCCATCAGATACGATAATCCTATGATGATTGCAATCAGAAAGAAAGAGGCGGTTTCCACTTTCATCTGCAGAGATGCAGCCTGTAACATAGGATACCAGGTATTAAAATATGAAATCAGCCAAGTTACTTTTAATTACAACCCAAAAAGTATAATGAAAAATTTGTTACAGGCGTTGCGATCATCTAAGAAGTATCATCAATACAACAATCTGAATTCTAAATGGCCCACATAAGTTTCCAAGGTTATGAAAATAAATTCCTCGTCTGATATAGGAAGGATGAACTGTCAAATAAATAGTAATGTATAGCATTAGATAGATTTATGATCGCATAAACTATCGGTTACCTTTCCTAAATCCTCCTAATTAGTGCTATCTATTCAGTGCTCAAGATTTCATACTTCTTCTATGTATGATAGCCATTGCACTTTAAGACCAGAATATAAAAATCCAAGAAAATTGAATCTCATTTTTTTTCCCCTGATAATTATAGCAAGGTAAAGGGGAGGAGAAAATGAAAAGGCCAAATGCAATTTCGCCTCCGTTGGGGAATGAAATCATAAGTATTGAAACATTAATGACATTCCTTTGCAGCATTTTGTGAGAAGCAAAAAATAGTTGCTTCTGGAAAATGTCTGCTTCAAAGGCTTTAAATGGGTACAAAAGCAAGCACTACATCTACAAATTTGAGAAGCTATCTCTCTTGTGGGTCAAAGTTCATCTAAGTTCAGGTTTCTTTGACAGATTCATGAAGGGATTATGCAGCCCTTTTGAGTTCGAGTATTTGTTGATATCATTTTCCATTCAGTGTTGGTGCTGTCCCATTATACTTCTTTGTCTAATTTTAAACAAGCTGCAAAAGGTTTGCAAATAAAAAAAATGCAAGAGGAAATTTATTCCTCTAGGGTCTAGCTCGCAATTTTTCAAATCATGTAGAAAATGAGAATTACTACACAAGGAAGTGTAATCCGAAATTAGCATAATTTCTAATGTTAAACAAATTACAGGAGAGAAGATTCTCTCAGATCATCACATTTTACAAATACCTTGAAAGTAATGCTGTGGTAAACAACGCAGGAATAATTGAATCAAGGGATTAATGTTTATAATACCTGGATAACAGAGAAGTAAATTCTGAAGAGAAGAACACATATAATAGTCCTTCGTGATTCCATCTAGCTTCCAAGAAGTGAACTTCAATTGATTAATTGACTCAGAATTCCCAGCAGGCGGCATATTTAACTTCTGAATAGCTGTTTAAAGAACCCTTATCAGGAATTAAATCATGAAAGCATGTTGCATTTCTTCATTGACCATGCATATGCATATATATGAAAAAATTTAAAAAATACAAGTGTCTTAACGTATTGTAGACAACATTATGCAAGAAAAATGAATCATCACCTTGGTAGAGTATTTCAAGATCCACATCTTTCTTATGATATACTGCTGGGCCCTCAAAATTTTTAAATAACAAGTAGCATGCACCTTTCTCCATCTATGAATATAAAAGAAAATAAATTTAATTAAATTCCTCTAAACAATAATGTTATAGATGTGTCAGTCCATAAGGAAAAATCATATAAATAAAGCAATTAACGCCATATGAGATATATGATATGGTGGACTTGAAACTCTATTTAGCATAATATAGGTACTACAGCTGGGCTTCCCTTCATTGGTTAGCATGTAGCACTAGCCACGGCAATTGCAAAAATTTTCACTACAAAGAAATTTTGCAACAATGTCTTCCTAGAAAAAGACATTTCTTTAACAAGAGATTCGAAGTAAAAATGAATAACTCATCTCCAAAAGGAACCTTGAAAATAAAGACAATGAAAAAATCTTTAAGCAAAAGTGTAGCAAAGCAGCCCTCTTTCTTTTTGAAACTGAAGACAATGAAAAAATCTTTAAGCAAAAGTTTAGCAAAGCAGCCCTCTTTCTTTGTGATTCTGAGATGGCAACTCCCTTGAAGAATAATAGACTAAAAAGCAGAACAGCACAATGAAGAGATGAATGCTATTCTTCCCCACATAGCTCCTTAGACAAAGGACCAACCATAAAAGCCCACGGATTTCTCTCCCCCCCAAACTCGTAACACTTCAAACACTATCTATGCAAGTTTTGCAACTATGTTAACAAATTCAAGATCTTGTACAGGCAATTTGCCTATAGAATTAGTTAAACATGACTAGCTATGATCTTAAAATTGTACATCATATGGAAAAGTGTGCAGAAGGCAGAACTGTTAAACAACACCAAGCATCCGATTGGCACTCACTGAATGAAGAGTTTTCATTTTTCTATTTAATAAATTATGGTTTATTTTATTCTTTCTCTTGTAATTTGAAATAATCGGATTAGATTAGATACAATAGATTCTAAAGATAGGCCATTAATGCTAGATTTTGAGTATCTTAGAAACCCTATATTCAAGCCATTCTGCTTCCCATCTATATATGTAGCACACTTAATATTTTAAGGCAAGTCGTCAATTGCTCAGCTACCCTTCATGACATCAGAGCAACAATCCCCACAATGCTCAGTTTCGGTCAGTTTAGAGCCATGAGTAATTAAACTCAAACTGGTAAAACTGATTCACTAATGGTGGAACAATATGCATCCTCTACCTGAAACCAGTGAGCCATCAACCCTGATGATTGGGCATAAACTAGATGGAAACAACTATTTCCAATGGTGACCAGCATCTTATTGAACAACTATTTGAAGAAACCTAAAATAACAACAGCATAAATCAGCTCCAAATCAGAACATGAAAACTCAGACTACGCTTCACTGTTAGTAGATGTATAAAAGCCCAACACTTTCAGATTAAATTACCAAACATATCATGCCCAACACTTAAATAAAAACATGACAGAAGGTAAAGATGGATAATTCTCTTCTTCAGAGAGACATCCAAGAAAATTACTCCCAAATGATTCTTCGCAACTCCTCTTCACTATTTAGGTTCTAAACAAACCCATTGCCATCACACTCTCTCTTCCTACTCTACCACAACCTCCACTAGCGTCAAAGTTAGTTGCCGCTTTGTCCCTTGTTCTATCCATATCTTCCCCCTCGTGTAATAAGGCTTTTGGACTGGTTTAACAGTAGGGCCCAGAGTCTAACACATTCTCCACCTTGGCAAATAACTTAATATTTGCATGCAAGAGGGGTTGATGGTAAGAGGAATTACGCCAAGGACAAGGGTTGATAGTAATAAGAATTATACCACAAGGCTTGATATTACTGAAGAATTGGACCCAGGATTTCACATTACCTCAGGAAATGCCTTCTTTGACAATAATATGGGGAAACTGATGTTTTCAGCCATCAATAACCAGATTAGGTGCATTGTATCTGCTGAAGGATGAATTAAGAATAAGCCCATGATAAAAAGATGAGGGAACCTGCCATCAAAAGTAATTTATAATCATAAGGTGAAAAGAAAACTAATTATTGAAATACTAGGAGAAAGAAATTAATACATAGCCTTCCTCACCTTTTCTTTATTTTCTTTATATTTTCAAACAAAATTTCATGGTCATGAATTCTTGCAGAAAGAACCAAGAATGTTCTGTCTCGAACAGAAAGTTGTTTATTTTTGTAGGACCTATTCAACCAACAATGATATGGGCCTACGGGTTCAAACAAAGAAGTGGTTAAAGGGAGGAGTAGAGTGAAAAATCATTGAACTGTTGGAATCTTCATCAAAAAGCAACAATTTTGGATTAAATAGTATCTATGTAAATGTTGCACAATGTCATGCAATACATTAATGAAAAAAATTAAGAGCTGAGCAGAACATAGCTTATTCAAGTAAAAAATATAATGATTTTTGCACATTAATAGCCCCAGTATAAATCCCCATGCAACAACAATAAGTTTTATCCTACTAGATGGAGTCGGCCACATGGACCGCACAACACCATTGTGCTCCAAAAAGCAATGACGATATGTTCCAATGTGATTCTCCAACAAGCAACAAAAGTGGTTTATTTTAGTCGAAATCTATTCTATGAACAGTTATGTGCCTTCTGGTTCAAAGAAAGGCAATTGGAAGAGAGTATAGAGGGGAAAAAAAATCATTTGATCATTGAAATTTCACAAAAGATTTACAAAATTACAATTTTAAGTTATAAAAGAATCTATATCAATATTGAGCAGAACATTAATTCATTCAAAAGTGAAAAGGGAAAATAACAATTTTGCAAGTAAATAGCACTTGTGGAAGTCCCCATGATTCTCCAGTTGTTTGGACATGCGCAAGATCAAAAATTAAAATGGGTAAAAAGTACATTTAAAACAGAAGTTAAGCTTTTAACCCCAAAAAAAAAAAAAACACACACACACACACACACACAAAAAAAAAGGTAGAAGAAACGAATATTTTTTTATGACGTATACCTTCAAGCTCATCTAGTGAGGCTTTAATGAATGACAGGCAATCATTTCCAGGGGCAGGTCCATGTGATACTTCAGCCATTGTTGAGAAACTGTATGAGACTGTTGATCAAAAGTCAGGAAAGCTCATAAATCTAGAAATTCCTAATTAATGAGGCTTCAGAACTTAGAGATGGTTCACAATGAAATGACTGCAATTTATTTTGTTTGGCTAACCACATCTTGCTTTGAGATGCATTCACTTCAACATAAACTGCCACCACATTACTGGCACACTCTTACAAGAAAGCATGAATCTTCCAGAGCATGTGACTGGAATCCATTTAGTGATTGGTTTTGATCTAGAAGACTCAGGTATCATGGAGAAGGCCACTGAGTTACACAGAGTTCAGATACATAATTTGCTCAATGAATAACAGTCAAAATTAAGAACTTTGCCTTTAAGGAAGTTGCCACATGTGGTTTCCATAGCAAAGAACCATAGATTTGACTATTGCACGAAGCAGTGGCATTAAATATTCAAGGGTTACACAATTTGTAAGAATTGCTAGTGATCATATCACGGAAAGCTAAAGAAGAAATCTCTTAATCTCGGGGAGCCCAATATTTTCCAAACAATTGTCATCACGTTCGGCTTTTAGCGTGTGATCCAGAGAAGTGAGAAATGATGAACAATGTCAAGTGAATTTCAAACATTGGCACATAACACTAACAAATTTCGATGCAAACAGGTTATAATAAAAGAAAACGGGGGGGCACAAAGGAAGCCAAAGAACACCTTTCGACGGTGCCGACATTGGTTTAGACGCCGTTCGGGCGGGCAAACTGCACAGCTGAGACCACCAGGTTTCTACCCTTCTCCATTTTGTTCGCAGAGGTAGCCGCCGCAACGCAAGGAGGCCACTCAAGAGTGTGGACTGTGAAGCGCTCCGGCGCATCTGCTTGCGAAAGTGGAATGATGCCGTGCGGAAAGAGTTCAGCAGCGTGGCAACGACGGCGGGAATGAAAGACGGGGACGACGCTTCGCCGCAGGTATGAAGCCGGCGGCGACGTGGCCTCAGGAATTAAATAAAATTAAAGAGAAATAGTTTGTCTATACTTGCAAAGAGGGGGTAAACAAAATAAAATTGAATTTCATGATGGGAGCCCCCTTTCTCTCGTGCATGGGATGACGCCTGGTTTCCACACGAGAAGAAAGCCTACAGGGTATCAGCAACAAGCATAGGAGTTAGCTTCCCTCCTCCCACCCTCCCTGTTCCCATCAAACTGAAAAGCCACATTACGAATTCAGTCATAGGAATTTGAGTAATGCCATATTAAAAGGTGTTTGGTAAGGCAAGAAGTGAATTTTAAAAAATAAATTTCTACACATATTTATTTCGTATGCCATAAAAATATTTTTAAAATTATGATTTTTTTTCTATCCAAATACCTCCTTAGGCTCCTGTGAACTAATTGGGATTTCAAAATCTTATTTAATGACTAAGGCTTAACCAAACATATGTAAGAAAGGAATAAAAAAATAATTTATTTTTAATTTGATTTATATAAAAATTTAGTAAAAGTTGGTTTTTGTAATGTGATTTATATTTGAATTTGTTTTTATAAATAAATGAGTTTGTAAAAGTAAAAATTGTTTGGATTATTATTATAAAAACAAGTTTAAATTTAAAATGATTAAAAAAATATTACTTTATTAAATATATATTACATGTGTATAATGTGATAATTTTAAGAGAAATAATAATTATAATTACTAAAAAAACACTTAATGAGATATATTTAATAAATATTATTTAATTTGTTGTAGGTTATAGAATTTAATTGAAGATTAATAACAACTTAATAATGGACTGTTTGTTATAAATATTGTACATATGGGATGTTCATAACCCCCACCTCTTAGGATTTTTTATAAGATTCTTGATCTTTGAATGTCTTAAACCCATAACCTCCCAATGAATGACTTAAGAGGAGTTTTTCATGTTTATTGTCATTATTCCCATATTCATTTCTTTGTAACCCTTAGATTAGAATTTGATGGTTAGAGACCTATAAATAGATGCCATGTACAATGTATTTGTACCCATATATATATATATATATATATATAATGAGAAATACTCCTTGTTTTCTCTTCTAATTCTTTTCTTGCTATTCTCCTTCTACTCTCTAACTTTCTTATTTTTATAACACATTATCAGCACGAGTTTTTTTTTAAAATGTGAGGTATAAACCCTTGTAAATTAATACATTCTTATAGTATATGATAATACTTTCTATTAGTTCTCCTTTACTTATTTATTTATTCTTTTGATCCTATTATCATATGCAATTTTAATTTTCTATACATTTGCTATATATTATGTTGTTCTTTTATGTTATTTATTAATTTATTCTTTCGATACATTTTAATTATGTTATTTTCTCATTGTGATATTGTGTTATTTATTTTATTTATTTCTCAATACTTCTTGTTTCATTATTTGTTTATATATCTTTCTAGTTTATATTATGTTGTTTTATTTATCACAGTATTATATATATGATTATATAATGTGATTTATATTTATTTGTTATTTGTATTTGATTATGAAGTTAAATTTATTTAATTTATCTCGTTATAGTATTTTTTTTTAATTTCATTTTATTAAATGGCTAGAAGTCATAATACTCTTGGTTTTATTATTAAATGACCATAAGTCATATCACTTTTGTAATAGTTCTTTTGTAAAAGAACAATATGGATATAAATGATATGACAAGAAAAGGCTATGACAATTTAATGATCTAATAGTAACAAATATTAAAGCCCTGAAGGCTAATGGTTCAAACACCAAATGGCACAAAAGAGTTTTATTTGAAAGATTTTTGATATAGTCCTGAAGACTAATATTTGGTGAAATTGATTATATGCTATTGAAAGCAAAGAATATGTCTATAAGAGTGATAAAGAACATGACCACATTGCATCAGTGGAATTAATAATTTAAGGGCAATGATCTTTGATCTTGGCTATTGAACCATAATTGAGAAGATAGTGATACTTCTATAGTTAAAAACAATTATGAGCAAATATTATAATATGACCAAAAGTTATATAGACAAATATATATACCAATCTATTGAGAGTAAATGTTAAAATTAGTGATGAAACCAAAAGATCAAGAGATATTATAAAAGGTACTAAATGTAGTTATGATAACCAAGGCAATGTCTTATGGAGAAACATGATCAAATTAGTCAAAGTTAAAAAAATATAACCATTAGCCTGGACGACTATATCCAAGTTATATGATATTACATTAAATTTCTTGTGATTGATTGATATAAACATATTATTATAAGTATTTGATATTAAAATATTGATTTCAAGAGTGGTATGAAACAAAATATACCAAAAAGTAGTTATTGGTCACTTTGAAATATCAATTTATTGTGCCAATTTATTTGCATATTTATGAATATGAATTGTGAATATAATTAATTTTCATATCAATAGAATAGCCTAAAAGATGGTCATATTATGATATTGATATTTTATTGTGCTATTTGTATGATCTTAGTTTGAATGATTTATTATGGTTTATTGACAATAAATTTTATTATAAGCATTTGAAGTTATTTTGAGTTTAACTAAATAAGAAATTAGTTGAGAAAGAAAAGTTAAGTATTCATACAATATGTAAGTAATTTTTCAAAAGACATATTTTGAGTGTTACAAATTAAATAAATGGTATATATTAGTGTTAAGAAGTTTTGAATAATATGTTCAATTTTACACTTTATTATCAAAAATTTTATTTTAAATGATCTTCTATATTTTTGTGTTTTTTTTAATTATATAAGTTTACTTATGAGAATAAATTAAACACGTGCATATTTGCAATTAAATTATTTTTTGTTGTGACATTTAAGGGAAAAAGAAAAATCATACATGTCACATTTGAAGTGAGAGAATGAGAAATTATTTAATTTTACAAGAAAATTCATTATAAATAGTTGATGTTGATTTTGATTGGCTAGGCAACATCATTTTTACAATCTGTGTAAACTTTATATATTTTACAAGTTAAATCTATGGTACTCACAACTATTCATTATTATGTACTATAATGTTATTAAGATAAATTTGTCTTCATATTTCTCTTAAATTACATAGTTTCTGAAGAATTATATGTAACAATATTAATATAGTTCCTGAAGAACGAATACAGATTTAAAGATGGTGAACGAACGCTCCGAGGGCGACGGTTGCAAGGACGACGACGACAAGCAAAAGAGAGTTAGGAAAGAGTAGCGGCCAGTAACGCAAACTGAGGAAAATGTCTAGAAGATAGAAGACAAGAATCTTAGCAGAGGCAAATCCTTTAAGGAGTCACTTCTAGGGGACAAGTCGGTCCCAATTTTGACTGATCAGAAGGGTAGTAGTGTTTTTGACGATGCCTGGGTCGAATACATAGCAGGACTCCAGTGCTACTTCATCAAGGATAACTCCAATAGAGACTCACAGAATACTGACTACACGGAGGACTCGGATGATGAGGATTGCCCCACTCTCAGGGTCTCAAGGGAAGATTATGAAAAATGGTGCGTACCATGGCATAAGTCTCTAATCATCAAGCTTCTTGGAAAGACGATACCCATTTGGGCAATGAGAGACGGCCTTAGCAGAGTATGGAAGACCAGCAGCCCCTATACGACTAGTGACATTCATAATGGCTTTTTTGGAGTCTCCTTTGAAGATGAAGAGGACATGAATTGGATTTACCAAGAGGGCCTGTGGATGGTTTCTGACAGGTATTTGGTGGTTCAAATGTAGAGACTGAATTTTGACACTTGGTGTGCTGAGCTCCAAAGGAACATTGCTATATGGGTGAGACTTCCCATTCTTCCCCTAGAGTTCTTTAATGCTGCTACGTTAAGGGCCATTGGTTCCCTGAGAGGACGCGCTCTGAAGATCGATCGCATAACCTATGCTAGTGAACGAGGGAGATATGCACGCATATGTGTTGAGGTTGATCTAAACAAAAGGTTGAAATCATCGGTTAACATTTTCGGCAAGTGTAGACTCATTGAGTATGAAGGTTTGCATCTAATATGTTTCTGCTACGGGAAATATGGGCACCACCATGATGTGTGTCCACAGAAAATTGATCCAGTGAATTATAAGGCAAAGGAAGCAGCCAAATGCCCTAAGGAAGCTGTGACTCAGTCGAAGGCGACCCAGGTTCATCCTCTCGAGACAAGCGTTGATGGGGAAGATGCCAATAAGGAGGAGCTAGAACCTACAGGGGAGAAGAGACCATGACAGGACTTGGTCACTAGAATGGGTGTCTCTGCCGGTGCTCCACCATCAAAGGAGGGACATGGAATCTGGAACTTGGTACAAAGGCCAAGGAGACAAAGATTGGGAAATTCTGATAGATCGGGAAAGGATACTCAATCTAGTGAGAAAATTCAGCATAATATTAAAGAGAGGAGCAATCTTCACGGGAAAGACATTAGTCTTAATGAGGCCACAAATCAGGAAGCACATATATCAAGGAATACGCAAAGTCAACCCAATGGGGCCAGATTCTTTGGCTATGATATCTCTAACCAAAAGAGATAGGTCTCGATGACACAGGAAAAACTGATGAAAGGTGATAAATTTAAAAAAGGCAAAGAAAATCTCTCTGGTAAAGTCCCACAAGCAGTTGATCTGAATTTTGGACGGCCCCAAGGAAGGAAAAGTCACTTCCTTAACTCCCCAAACCCGTTTCAGACTCTCTCGAAGATGATAGAGGATATCTCTATAGACGACAAGCACGTCCCGACACAAGCTTCTCCTCAGGTTACCAAAAATAGCTTAGAGATGGAGGTATCTGATGACCCAAGCTCTTCCGGATCTGACCATCAATGGCACCTTGATAACAAATCAACACAACCACTCTTAGCAGTTGACCCTA